TTCTCCATGCCTACTTTTGAAAATATAAGTAAGGGATATTTAGACTTTTATATCCATCCAAAAGCGCTTGAGCGGGAAAAAAAGAGCCCAAATTCTCCTTTAGCTCAAAAATTAAGTGTATATCTCATAAACATAAAGCAACTTATAATGCTTGGAGACGGCTTGAATGGGTAATGAAGAAAAACTTTAATATAAGTTTAACATAACAGCAAATGTACAACATAAAACCTTATCGAAACGTTGTACATTTGCTGTTATGTTAAACTTATATTAAAGTTTTTCTTCATTACCCATTCAAGCCGTCTCCAAACATTATTAGTCTCAAAGTGGGTTCCTCGTCATCGAATTTGAATTCATAAAGCAACTTAGCATTACTTACTTTGTATCAGTTTATTTACGTGCTTTAAAATCTAATAAACTTAGCTTTTAATCCACAACATCACATTTTAATCATTGTAATTCAGTAATGATTCTCAGATGAATTAGGCTCCAAATTCTGTTTTCTCCTTTCCCCTACTGTTGTGTTTCTCCTTTTCCGTACGGTTGTGTTTTCTCCTTTCCCTACTGTTGTGTTTTCTTCTTTTCTCTACTGAATTGTTTTAAAACTTTTTTAACATAATGAGTAATATGTAGTTTTGATATCCAGAAAAATATATTTGCTTTTTGTTCTAAATTGGGTTTATATTTTGTCTTCAATTCTGATTCATAGAAAAATACTTGGTAATATATCAGCGGTATGTTTACAACCCTAAACTCTGTGGCTCTATTCCCTGCTGTGGACACATACTGGCCTTGTTATATAACAAACAAAGATATCGCATTTCTTTTAATATTTTAATGTCTTGAATCATTCACTCGTTTACTTAAACATTAATTCATTATACTTTATTTTGTCGCTTTTATAATTTGCATCCAAAGATGCCGTCATATTTGCTATGAGAGAAGTTTTATTTTTATATTGTTTTAGACTGTTTTATACTATATAAATTGATGGCGATTATTATCTCTAAGCAATCATATTATAAGTGAACGTTAGCTCATCCTAGGGTCTATCCTTTTCCCCTTGCTTGCATTTTATTTACATCTGAATAGCTTGACATCTTTTGCTTCGAGGAAAATCTCCTTACATCCTCTATAATATGTGGGAATATTATCGTTTAATACGACAATTAATATTATGCTCAGGGCCGAATATAGACTTTTTAAGACCTCCGTGCAATACTGCAATACTGGAAGTCCCCTTCTTAGGGTGATTCAAAATTGAGGCCTTTTGATGTTCGAAGTCCTCACCCAACTACATGGGTTGCATCCCCTCTAAATCCAGCTCTAACTATGCTGAAGTTTAGATACTTAAAACAAAACTACGTAGAAAGAACCAGTTACAGCTGACGATTCTCAGAGTCTGGAATCTCAATCTGGATACAGGGAAGTTAATTATAGAAAGATCACTCCAGAATTAGAATTGTTGTGCAGGACCGTTATCGAAAAGTAACTTCAGAAGAAGAGTTCTCGTTGCTCTAAATATCCAGGCGTACAGGTCTTATGTTTCGAGAGAAGCAATCAGAAGTAACCTAAACAATGTAGGTTTACTTGATAAAAAAACATCATGTCCACCACTAACCGTAGGTTACTAAATGCACCAATTGATTTAAACACCAGAGTATCATAAATATTTAACAAACCAGTGGAGTTCAGCGATATTTCATATTACGTTCAGGTTCTACCTATGTTACATGTTGACTTTATCTGGAGAACTTACAGAGAGCAATTCTGGACCACCCACGGTCTCTTAGGGGTCACCCTGAAGCACCCTACATCTTGAACTGTGTTTCATATGTAGCTCACCTTTATTCAGAGGTATCGCTCTTGGCTCATGATTGTTAAACGAGGTCTTGTAGTCCCTGAAGATATGAAACACAAAACTGTAAACTTAAAACAATTAAAACATTTAAATGAATGTTAGAGCCTTCTTCAAATAGAATTTGTTGCTGGTCTTTCTTAATAATGTCGACATATGATCTTTTGGATAATTTTTACACATCTTTTTTTATTCTATGGAAAAAACTAAAAATTATGAACAAATGTACAAATTATAATCAAACCAATGAAAGATGTTGAAACATTTTTCTAATTGCCGATATTTAAATTGTACGTGTCTTCTGATATATGTGGGATGGAGAGCCGAGTGCGACCCAATGACTTGCATGCCAGACAGTGGATCCAAGCTTTATTGGTCCGTGACCAGTTACCACACAAAATAAAAAAAACATTATTGTGCTCCGCACTTTGGGGATGCGAATGCGTTAAATGCGTTATAAAAGCGACGGTCAAATCCCACTGTTCGACTTGAGTAGCCTATTGGTTGGTGGTGGATGGTGTTGCCTAAATCACTACGTTCTGAACATATATTAAACATACATAGTTAGAAACTACTTTTACATTATATATTTAGAAAACTGTTTAACTCGTGTACTAGGAAACTACATTTTCTCATAACATACAAACGTATTTTTTAATGAGGAGGTTACGTGAAAAGACGCTCAAACCTACAAATAATAATAAATATTTTTAATGTGTTGATGATATGTACTATAAAAATCTAAATGTAACTTTATAAATTTCTAAAATTATTTTCAAATGTTCAATCTTAGCAATATCGTTTTTAGATATTATAAAATGTATTTACTTTTTGTATGCGATATCATTTTGCTGGTGGTGGCGTTTTGGTGTATCGAAGTACGAGATTTTTGAAACTAGTTAGTGTTAAATGTAAGTAACAATTGTTATAAGTTTATGTCTAAAATTAGTCGCTGTGCAGCAGTTAATGATCATATGATGTTAAAATTTTCAGTGTTATTTTATTTGAATGTACAAACTCAGACTGTCCCAAAATCTTAACTTTGTCAGTGCAAAAATCTCACTCAGAGTCGGTAAAAGTAAAACTAAAAATGTACTCTGGTACTGACACTACTAATACTACTACTACTAGAGTAGGGCTAGTGAGACCTACGCCACCATGTGTTGCACCAGTACTAATCTATTATACTAACTACTGCCAAGTGAACAAAAGATTCGCCAGGAAATTATGTATATATTCAAATATTGTCACGTTTTTCTTAGGTTGAAACTCCTTAACGTAACATACTATTTTGGGACAACATGGGACCTATTGGTCCATCTCGGCTGATCCATCCACTAAACCAAATAATAATAATAAACAATCCTAAAGCCAGCCCTTATCATTCATGTACTTATCAAGATTTTTCTTAAACTCACTTAAATTTACTGCCTCTGCAACATATGAAGGCAACCCATTCCAGACCAAAGGCCAACAACCCTGTTAGAAAAATGAAACTGTATTAGCTGAAGATGATTCCTACCTTGCCAAAATTTATATTTGTGTCTTCTAGGCCTACTATTCTCACTGTTAAATATGAAAAAAGATGATGCATCAACTCTATCAATTCCTTTAACAATCTTAAACACATCAATCAGTTCCCCCTAACTCTTCTTTTTTCAAGAGAAAACAATTTGGGAGATTTCAACCTCTCCTCACATGACAACCTCCATCCCAGGAACCATTCTAGTAAGCTTTCTCTGAACCCTTTCCAACAATTTAATGTCTTTCCTAAGGTAAGGAGCCCAAGACTGAACACAATACTCCAAATGTGGCCTAACCAGTGACCTGTACAATGAAATTATAACCTCTTTTGACTTGTATTCAGTATTTCTATATATTCAACCTAAAATCCTATTTGCCCCACCACTAGCAACAGCACACTGTTTGGATGGCTTTAGAGACTGATCGACTATTACACCAAGATCCCTTTCCATAACACTGTTAAGGTTATTCCTATCCAAATTATACTTATGATTAAATTATTATAACCCACATGCATTATCTTACATTTATTATAATTAAAATGCATCTGCCACTTACTTGCCCAACTCACTAAATGATCTAAATTCTTTTGTATATCAGTAATTTATTGACTATTCCTTCATCCATGTCAAAACGAGCAAAGGTCTTAAGACTAATCACTGACCAATATGACAGTTTTAAATTTGAAAGTTTTAAATTCTGTGAGAAAATTTCAAAATTATGAAAACATCTGCAGAGGAACTGGAGGTTGGGGTAATATGAATTTGAGGCTTTCTGATATTCCATGTGATATATTATAATGGGACATGCATGTCAATATATGTAACATATTTGGGTTTTGCACTTTTGTTTTTTTCTTACATTGAAAATTGATGTTTAACTATTTGTATTGTGAACCATTATTAGTAAAAGTATAAAAAATACTGGATGCTATAATTTTAAAGTATTTGAAGCAATTAAATTATTTTTATTGTAATGTTTGTTGTAAAAAATCAGGAAGACAACATAAAATAGACGATTGATACTTGCCCTTAATTCTATTGATATAGAGTTTAAACTTGCAAAATCTATAAGCTCTCTTACTTTCTAGGTGTTGCAGCCAGAAAGGTTATGCTGTGTCTCCCCTACTTGTTATACTCTCACACTTAAAATTGCATGAACTTTGGTACACACTTTCTACATAATATGTAATTTGCCCTTGAAAACAAATTATAATTTGGTATTTTTACAACATTTTTGTTTGACAATGTGTGGAAATTTTGTTGTGAAACAAAAAATGCTATCTTTTTCCTTGGAGCTTCTGCTTTTTTATTGTCTTGAGTTGTTGAGAAACTTTGCTTTAGTTGTTTGTTTTTTGGAGTCGTTTACTTTATGAATTGGTTTGTGTTGATATATTTCGAGATAACTTAACAGATGGAAAAGTTTAATTCTCTCAACCTGTGATTGCATAGTTTGTAAGGAACTCTGTGACCTTGAGGAGTTAATTAATAGAATATTTTTTATAAAGTACTTACAGTAAGTTTGTGGTGATTGGGTGCTACTATTTTTCTTGGTTAGTGGCTTATATAATCACTAAAGTCTCATTAATTAGTAACACTGTTTTTTATAGCTACATGCTAATTACTAACTAGCTTTTGTCCTATGAGGTGGCTGCTAATCTGCTGCCATCTTCAGGGAAGTCTGGAGATTGGCTATTCCTATGTTGGTAGTGGCCAAGATTTGATATTGGGTCTTTTGATGAAATTCTGGTTCTTTATCTACTCGTTTTAGAGGCTATATTTAATTAGTCAATAATCTAGTTTATATTAGATGCAAAAACTTACAAAAATAAAGATTTCATTTTGTTCAAATTAGACATACTATTGTATTGTTTGTTACTCATGTACATTAATAAATCAGATCTGAACTGTTGTGTTGATATTTTCTATATTTACATGAAATGTAGGTCATGTATCCGGTCCTGAACAAACAAAACTTTTTCAGTTGGGAAGACAGAGTTACGTCTGCAGTTTCTGATACAGAGAAAAACATAGCCAAACTAAAGGTAGGCACGTAAACACAAGTAAACACGACTCATATATAGAATTGGTAGTAAACAAAAACATAGCCAAACTAAAGGTAGGCATGTAAACACAAGTATACACGACTCTTATATAGAATTGGTAGTAAACAAAAACATAGCTAAACTAAAGGTAGGCACGTAAACACAAGTATACACGACTCTTATATAGAATTGGTAGTAAACAAAAACATAGCCAAACTAAAGGTAGGCACGTAAACACAAGTATACATGACTCTTATATAGAATTGGTAGTAAACATAAACATAGCCAAACTAAAGGTAGGCACGTAAACACAAGTATACATGACTCTTATATAGAATTGGTAGTAAACATAAACATAGCCAAACTAAAGGTAGGCATGTAAACACAAGTATACACGACTTTTATATAGAATTGGTAGTAAACAAAAACATAGCCAAACTAAAGGTAGGCATGTAAACAGCTAGTATAAACAACTGTTATATAGAATTGGTAGTAAACAAAAACATAGCCAAACTAAAGGTAGGCACGTAAACACAAGTATATACGACTCTTATATAGA